TGGTCTTTGAAAGCATCCCTATCTTCTGATTCTGAAATTCTGTCCTTACATTGGTTGCTTCTGTTACCCATACTTTCAGGATCATTTTTAATCTGGATTTCTGATTGAAACCCTATCATGGACTCTATAATTCTTTGCTAAATTGGTCATTCATGTTTTGTATCATTTTGTTTAGCTCAGCTAGCGTTTTATTGTGTCTTCTGAAAGCTTCTGGATTATATTGGTTAGTACTTCCATTATCTGTTTAGTTATATCTTCTGTGATCTTGCCAAGCACCTCTGATTTGTTTTCTAACCTCCTCTGTTGTCCTTTCAAGACTAATTTGGATGTGTGGCTTATGTTCTTCTCCCTCCTTGATGCCCCTGGATTGACTCTGGGGAGTTAGGAGTTTTGGGAGATATTTTGTGTACTTTGTCTTCTCATGTTTTTTGTGTGGTTTTTTTGTTGTTGGTTTTGTTTTTTTAATTTTTAAAGAAAAATAATTTTTTATTAAAAGCTGTGGGGGTTTTGTTGTTGTTGTTGTTGTTGTTTGGTGTTTTGTGACAAGGTGTCACTCTGTAATTCAGGGTGGCCTTAAACTCACTATGTATCCCACACTGGCCTCAAACTCATGGCGATCCTCCTGTCTCAGCCTCCCAAGTGCTGGGATTACAGGCATGTGCCACCATGCTTGGCATAAACCCATGGAAATTTTAATCTGATATTAACTACTTGCTACATCTAAATAAACATGATCAAAAACAGTAAGATATATCTTCAACTCCAGCCCCATGTTTAAGACAAAAGCCTGTAAGAAAGAAGAAAAAAAAGTTATCTTCATGTTTCACAACATAAAAATTGGAATACCAGGTCTATAGAGCTGAGATTTTGTTCATATCCTGTGCTTATAATTAACTCTTTAGTCTTGGAACTAAACTTGATATTTATTAACAGTTTCCATCACTTGAATCTGGATTAGGTTATAATAATTTTTCTTTATGTTTTGTTTCCCGAGGCACAGCCTCACTATATAGTCCAAGTTTCATCCTCTTGCCTCAGCCTCAGGGGTCCCAGCATGACAGGCTTGTACCACTGCACCGGGTGGTAATATTCCTTCTTTTTTTTCTTTTTTAACTTATCCTTTTATTGGTACGTTTTAGGTATACAACACAATTACATTTCGCATTGGGAATTGTACCTTTACATGATGCATCTTGGTTCTTATTTTTTCCCCATTCCTAGCCCTCCCTTC